GGCCAGGGGTGAACTTGAAGGTGGGTTCTCTTACTTTTGGTTCCTGGCGAGTAAATTAACCCACGTCGCCAGGGCCGTCGAAGGGTCTTTTCGCGCCTTGGGGAGGATCATAATGACACAACAGGACAGGCAAGGTGGTCTCACGTGGCACCGTCGACGATGCCTTTTCTCGCCACAGAGAAGCGACGTCGTGGGCGATCCATCTGTTGCGTTAAATTCAATCGTGCGCATCCCAACCCGCATGAATGTCGTCCGCATGTTTCCATCACAAAAGCCCGTTGCACCTGCTGCACACCGACTGCAACGACGCGAGAGCAATACAAGCCTGCTCGCCTCGGATAAATGTCGCCTGCTCCCCGCGGACATCTTCAGTATCGCGGAGGACCACTGCCGACGCCTTCGTAGCCATCTGGTCACGTGGAGATTCTTCGCTAGAGTCGTCGTCCTTCTGTCGTACACGTGGACATCCGCCGTCAATCATTCCGCCGCGGAGCACTCTCACCGTCGTTCTTTTGTTCTTCTCGCCGTCAATCTTTTCGCCGCGGAGCGCTCTCGCTGGGGTCGTTGTCCTTATGTCGTGCACGTGTACGTCGTCGTCTACTTCCCGTGGAGGAGAGATCTTCTACGTCGTAGGGGTATTCGTCCTCCCCATGCTACAGCAACATGGGAGACATTTTTCTCGCCAGATTGGTGGGACTTCAAACGACGGTCGACGAAGTACTTCCCGCTCATCCGATCGGACTGCCAAGCTCGCCTGCAAAAGTCCCGACGAATCATGTCTACGCGAGGGAGCACCCGTGGTAAGAAGCGCGACGTCGTCCCTGACGACAGCCAAGGGCAGGGAAGAGGTCGGCGGCATGTCCCAAAGGTGAAGAGGGCGCGTTTGGATGATGCGTCAGCAAGCGTGCCTCCTCGTCGAGCGCAAGGTTGGGCGGCAGCAGCGGAAGGGGACTACGACGACGACTCCACGAGGGAGGAAGAGCAGGCAGAGGCGACCGCGTTTGCAGTACGGGAGAGCGCTCGGCAACGCTCTCCTGATCAGACCGCTTCGAAGAGGATGCTCACCACTCTGCCGAGGCGCAGCAACTGCGTGCCCGCGACACGCGAATAGAGAAGGTTGCTGTCGTCGATATGGGCGGAGATGATGACGAGCCCTTGGAGAAACGTCGCCTGCGCACTCTTGCACAAGGCACCTCAGCGCCGCCGCCGACGGTACACGCTGCGGTAGACGAAAGGCGACTTACGGGTAGACAGCCCGCCATGCCATCTCAGCCACGTCAGCGCAACCCGGGTGATGACGGAGGGTCCGTCCAGTGTGGCGGCGGGGGGGAAGTCGTGGCAGACGCGCGCGCAGTTGGGGGCGAGCTGGTAGGGGCTGCGGGTGCGGGTGCTTCAGGCGGTGTGGCCCCCGTTGCGACAGCGAGAGAGGAGGCAGCAGTTGTGGCGACGGCGAGAGAGGAGGCGCGTGGCGAGAACAAAACTGATCGGGACGGCGGCGAGCCCGGTTCAAGCCGGGTACGTAGGGGAGTGATGACGAAAGACCTCATCGATCGTGTCATGCTTTGGGTTGATGAGAAAACTTTCTGGACGACGAGGGAGGGGCGAAGACTATACAACATCGTCCACAAAACGAGAGAGTACTTTGTCGCCATCGCCAGCGGCCTTCCGACGCCTGTCGTCCCTCGGAGCGTCGTCCTGCCCAAATCCAGCACGAAGGTAGCCAGGATCACCGACCCATCACAGCTGCAGCAAGTGATCTCCTGTGCGGCGACAATGGAGAACATTGCTCTGCACATCTTGCACGGCTGGGTGTTCAAGTCCGAGAACCGCCCAAGGGGATACAATGTGGCTTTCCAGTACTCGCTCGAGTCCGTGGCGACGGACATTGCGCGTGCAATGTGGTACGGCGAGGAGTGGTGCAACGTCGTCAGTGCGGCGGTATGCTCGCACACGATGGATCTGTCCATGGACTTGCCACTATGGTTCGTCGGCGCCAACATCGAGGACAGACCTGAGGACGACGACATGGCAACATACCAGGAGTCGAGCGTCATCTGCATCGCGCATGCATTCCGCGCGGCGGTGCAAATGGGTGCGCACATCGACGACGACTTCATCTCGTATGACCGTCTCTGTCGGGTGGCTGACTGCTTCAGGCTTTTGTTGGCGGTGTGCATGTGGATAATGCGCATGGTGGGAGACGATCCACGCAGCCACTATGAAGCTTTCTACTTCGCGAACCTGGTGGCGAAGCCCACACTTGTCGCGGTCATGCATCGGTCCTTCGATCATCGACGATCCATCGTCCATGCCGCAAAAGTCGTCACGGAGAGGCTTGGGAAGGCGAACGCTATGTTTGGAGAGTACCCCGACTACATCCCTGGATGGGCACCCTGCGACATTGGTTTCAGGCACGACGCGAGCATAACGGGGCYGGAGGATGCGAAGAAGCTAGATTGGTTGGGTTCGGGCCCCCCCGATGATGACAACAACGACGATGGAAAAGATGACGCGTAGGGGGTGGGGGGAGTGGGGGGGTGCGCGATGGAAAAGATGACGCGTAGGGGGTGAAGGGGGTGGGGGGGCGGTTGTGTGAACGAGGGCGCATGTACACGTGGCTGGTCGTGATGGGCTTCACTGTCGTTGGAACGTTGTGCAGTGCGCACCTGTTTAGTGTGTCAGTCGGAGGGATTGGTCAGAATCGTCGTCGGTTGTGCAAATGTTTAGTGTGTCGGTCGTGGCATAACGAGGTTGATTGATTTCAATCGTTTATTTTGCGTGCAGGTCAGGGCTATTTAGTGTGTCCGTCGTTGGAGTCGACGATGGGTTGATTGATTTGATTCCTGTATTGTGTTTTTATCATCGCAGTTCGCTGCGCAAGAACTTCAGAGCGCTTTCAGTGCACCCTTTTTTTTTTCTGTCATGTGTCCGCTGTTCTCGTCTCTTCGCTGGAATGATTCAAAGATGATTGCCTCCTATGCATGCACACAATCCATGTTTACCTTTCTGTTTTTTGTATTTTTCTTCGTTAACTTACATTATGCAGGTTTTATCAATGATTTCAACAGCCATGTTTGACGTCCCACCACACCACCACACAAAACCAATCATGACAAACGAAGTGGAGAGACAAAAAAAAACAAAAACAAAACAAAACAAAAAAAAAAACATTGAAGAAATTCCAAAAAATAAGTAAATAAATAAAACAAATCTTCCCACCACACGAACCAATCATGGCAAAACGATTTGAACACACACACACACACACACACACAAAAAAAAAAAAACAAAAAAAAAAACCTGAGAGATACAAAAAAAAAAGGTTCTTCCAATATTAAACGTTCGCACAACTGTGCGAACCACGCAACTGTCCAAACGATGAAAACAACAGAGGAACTCATCGATGACAACCATGCCGCCATCCAATCGTGGATGCAACTTCGCGCACTACGACCATGGATAGGGACCACGTGACAATTCCACCCGCCTACCGATCGCACCAACCCACGATGCCCAAGTCCACTCTATGCCGAACGCCGTTTGCATCCACCTCCCACAAAAGGTTCTCGTCGAAGTCGATCCCCGCGTCGAGGAGGATGTTGTGGAGAGTGCACACGACCACAAATTGTTGTGGCAAGGTCTCCAGGTTCGTCTTGTGGGTGCGCAAGAACAGATGCCACATGCACTTCAGTCGCCCGAATGCCCTCTCCACACATCCCCGCGCCATCTTCTGCCGCGTGTCGAAGCGCTCCTCGTCAGGACCTTGGTCGATTCCTCCGTACGGTTGCACGATCCATGGACAGGCAACTGGATAACCGTTGTCGCCCAGCAGGTAACCTCGCGTGACGACACCGTGCGGCAAATTCTCCGGAGGTGCGTCGAACAACTTGCCAGTTTCTGCACGCCTCCACAACTGGGAATTGTGCAAGACACGGACGTCGTGCACACTTCCTGGGTATCCGACGTGGACGTCGAGGATCCGCAGATCCAAATCCACCACCACCTGCACCTGCACGGAGAACTTCTGTTTTCAGTCGTAGTAGTTGGCCGAAGGTGCGCCGGCGGGTTTGTCAATGTAGATGTGTGTACAGTCGATTGCGCCGAAGCAGTTTGGGAAACCCTTCTCACGGAAAGCGCGCAGAATCTGCGCACGTCTACGGCCCACTGGCCACTTTATCGCGTCGGGGCACGCCTGCAGCAGCGCCGAAGTGACGTCGCGGACGGCCTGCAGTCCAGTTGCCATGCGGATGCCGAAGGCTGACGTGTCGCTCTCGTACGTCTCTCCGGACGCCCACCTGTACAACGCGAAAGCGATCACCTGCTCCACTGGCAATGGCATCCTGTAGTGCGTGACCTTCTTCTCCACGTACGCGGCGCACTCGACTATGATCTGGGTGAACATGGCCATCAACATGCGCAACTTCTGCTGGTAGTACTCGTCCGTCGCGTCATCACACAGGCGGAGGTCCTCCCATGTTCCGCTAGTCCGTCGTCTAATCCACCAACGCGGGGTCTGCCTCGGGAAAACGCCAGACGACAGCGCGACACACAACTGGACGACTGCCTCACACGTGGCCACGCAATCCGGCGCTTCGGCAACGCTCTGCAACAACGCTCTTCGTTTGCGGAGCTGCATCACCATGTCGCGTGAGGACGACGACATGTCGCTCATTGTGTTGACGACGACGACAGTCACCACCATCGCCACCGCGTCGATCTCTTCTTCGCGTAGACCGTGCCTGCAGCCACGAACGTCCATCTCTGACAATCGTTCCGCGTCTACAGCGTGACGCCTGCCACAGCCGCAGAAGACACGGCCGCTGATCAACCCTGCCGCAGGAGACCACGCATGCCGGAGCCGAAGATGCGCCCGCTGCTGTACGCTGCCACAGGAGATGATGCACGCCGGAGCCGAAGACGCGCCCGCTGCTCTACGCTTCCACATGATAGTACGCACGCCGGAGGTGAAGATGCACCTTGCAGGAAGATGCGCCTGCTGCTCACAACTTGCGTAGACTCGAAAGATGGATACCCACGCCGAACGGTTCGCCAGCGCCGTCTTTTCTACGTCACACGCGTCGCCTGGCCGTCCTCCGCCCCCCCCACCCTGTGTCCGCGAAAATTCGAATTTGAATTTTCGAAGTTATGTGTGACCGCGCTTTTCACCGACCCGTCCTCACCCGCCCAAGGGCCACCGCAGTGTGTACCACGAACACCAGCCAGGAATGGACGGACATCGGCGGCGTGGCTGCGTATACACATATGAAAAACGGCCGCGGGAGACCTTTTAGGACGAATCCTAAAAGATGATTTTTAGGATTGCGTGTAACGGTGCCGCACGAAATCCTAAAAAACATTTAGGACTTGTCCAAAAAATTTAAGGATTCTTTTAGGAGTGTCTAACGAGACCCAAAGTGGGAAATTGCCCAAGCAGTCTCCCTGTGGACACTCCTGGCTCGGGGTCCTCGCTCCCCGGGAGGGTAGGAATGCAGTGAATTCCGGTGTTACAAGCGGGCTGTATTCTAATTGTTTCCCTGTCCTCGTTGTCGGGACTTGATCCCTCAACCTTCATCTGTTGTGTTGCCTGTTTGCTTGCTGTTTGTTTGTTTTGAGCCTTGCGGGACTTGCTCCCGTGACCTGTAACCCGTGAGTTTTGTTTGTGAGTGTTAAGCCCTATGGGGCTTGATCCCTGAGTCTGTTACTAGTAGTCTCTGTTTGGTAGTCCTAGGTCATCAGGCCTTTTCCTTTTGCCTTGCCATAGATCTAGGTCCCCTTTTCCCCTGTTTCCATATAGATACAGATGACTCTTGGGTTTTGCCTTTGGAGTCCGTCGTAGGTCTAGGCAGAGGGTAAAAGTAGCGGACAGGAAATTTGGTTCGGGTCTCTTCTCATTGTTTTTGCTGGGGGAAACTCTGCCCGTTTGTCGCCGGAGCGCTGCTGCATTATTTTGGGGCAAGGGCATCTTCTTCCTCGAAGCCCAGCCATAGCTGGGGCTGGGACACGGAGTTCGAGATTGCACTGCTGCTATTCAGCAGCTCTGCACGAGAGCTTCCACAGGACTGTGTTGTTGGGTTTGGGCGCTGCCATTCTCTACTTGGCAGCCATGTCTGCTGTTCCTCCTCATGAGGAACTTCGTTTTTGTCTTCTTCGAAGTGCTGGATCGGTTGTTTCCTTCTTCATCAGAAGTTCCAGCACTGCACTTCCGTGCGGGCGCTGCTATCATTGGGGTTGTTGGTTCAGTTTGGCAAGTTGTGACAGCTGTGGGGTTGCTGCTGCTACGGCAGCCATAGCCAGGGGTATGAGGTGGCGAGGAGGAAGAAGAAGACTCCTGTAGACTTCGTTGAACACTTGTTTTTGGGTTGTACGGGGTTGTTGTAAAAGCGGTTGTGATTCTTGGAACAAGTACTTTGGATTGATTGGAGGAGGACGGGGGATTACAGAATTGAAATTCATTTTTCAATTCTCTGTGCATTTCGACCTTCCGCTGTGCATATCCTCTCTCCGGTTTTGTGTGGATTTGCCTCCTTCGAGTCTACTCTGCAATTGCATGCGTGTATGGAAACGTGTGAATTCGTTGTGGACTGAAGTTCAATCGGGTACATAACACAATGGCCAAGCAAGAGATCTCTGCAGTCAGGATCAACGAGCATCACAGTAAGCTCTCCTTCCCTATAGTGATGAACATTTCTGTGACTGCATGCATGATGAGAAACCGAAGCATATTGGATCACACCCTCTGATGAGCTGCTCTTAGCGCACACGGTGAAAAGTGCTTCACGAATCCCCTGAACAGTTACTATACCGTTCTGCATTGAGACTAACTGCTCGTCACCTTGAGCACACACACAAAATGAGAGATCACAAGAAGTCCACACCGGAGACCAGAGGTGCAAAGTCCAGTTAAGCGCAACTTAGAATTTCCAACAAACTATCACATTAAGCAGTTACAGAGTTCCAGTCACCAGTGCTCATCAGCGCAGAGTTCAGAAACCCAATTCCAGCAATCCTCATCCAAGGTAGGTGACTGTCTTCTATCTCTGGCCCCCTCTGTCTCTCTCTCTCGGCCTTCTTCATGCATGTGCTCACTCTCTCTCTACTCTCACTCTCCCAACTTGAGGATCTTGACTGTGAATACATCCGCTATCACCTGACTCTATCTCCTCCTACTAGCTATGCGGCTATGGCCGCCTTCCTTCATCAATGCAGCGCTACCCAGCAGGGCTCTCGCACATGCTACTCACAGATAGCGCAAAAGCACCGCAGCAGCACTTCCACACTTCTCACGAATGAGCAACCTCCCTGAAATGTGGCTGGCCAGTCCTTATATTGACTTGGACTGAGCCTCAACTCATCCCAGCCTCTGCTTCCTTTGGCTTGACTTGGACCCGGTACCACATGCCCACGGCCTGCTTGCTTCAGAATGTCAAGGCCTGGTACTTTCCTGAATTTTCATTGGTATGCTGCTGCTTGGATCTGTGAGTCAAGACTTTTCACCTGTGGAACATGACTTTTGACTGTGGGATGTGACTCTTGCCTCTGGGACACGACTTTTGCCTGGAGAAGTGCCCTTTGCCTGTGGGATATGATTTTTCAATATGACTTTTCAATATGAGACGTGACTTTTGATTATAGAATGCAACCTTTGCCTCTGGGATGTGACTGTTCACCGGGTGCCTGTTGAACTTGACTCCTAAGGTACCCGACTGTGACCTTTCTGAACTGGCCAACTTGGCCTCCCTTTGCCTGAGACCTTGACCCTGAAATTCGAATTTTGGGTCTACATCGTGGAATGCCTTTCACTCTCGCAGGCCCAATTTCAAGGTCCTCCAAGAAAGTTACAATCTTTATCTATCAACTATATTGATTCCTTACCTAACTCTCTCATAGTAAGACACTACGTGCGGTGTTGTTTCGACTAGCTCACCTCTAGTAAGCCAGCGATCTTCCGAAGGCTCTTGATAAGCAAATCTAACTTTATATTGTCGTTGGGGTCTACCCCTGCGCCCTGATCTATAGACATCCTCTGCAACGATGCGGTCCACGTCGTATTTGCCATCCATACCAGGAGGAATCATATATGTTCGAGACGGAAATAGCTCATTGCTGACACAAGGGAGTAACATAGAGGCATGAAACACGGGAAAAGTGTGCAAATGTGGAGGGATCTCAACAGCGTACGAAGGACCATCCACATCAGCAATCACGTCAAGAATCTGCCATGGTCCCGTATACACAGGCAATAACTTCTGTGAAATGTTCTCCTCCGGGAGAAGCTCTTTAAACTTCACCCAAATCAAATCCCCTACAGCCAACTACGAAGGTCTGCGGTTTAAACCGGTCTCGCGCGAATCGGATCTCTCTCTCTCTCTCTCTCTCTCTCTCTCTCTCTCTCTCTCTCTCTCTCTCTCTCTCTCT